GCCTATCACATTGGAATATAGTAGTGCTCAGCTTAAACCAGTGAAAGCCTTCTTTTTTCAGTTTGTCTAGGCTTGTTTGCTTTTCGTCAGGCAATTTATGTCAGAGGATATTGGCAATCCTTTAAAGAGATGATTTGAAAGGTGATTTACAATTGGCTGGTGCTATCCCCTAATGCCTTTTTGCCTTACGTCCTAATTTTTATGGAAACAAATTAAGGACATTAAGCTAGGGGTAAGTGTACTACTCGAAATGTACCTTGGCACTGGTGCTTAGGTCAAAAGCTACCGGATGTGATTAGGCTGCCAAATAGAATTCCTTGCCTGTCCATTTGAGTGCTAACCCCATGCGAGTTCACATGCTTTTCTAGGGACAAAACTTAAAACTCAGGAGAAATTGTCCATAGTTGAACTTGCTGTCCCATTGTAACTCTTTGAGTCTAATCCTCCTTGTTCTCCCCATCTCACGCCTTCTTCCTGTCTTTTCCACATCTGATACTTTTTCTTTATAATTTACTCTAGATCAATTTTTTTTCTAAGACTTGTTTTATAGATTACAACACAATGACCTTAAAAGAAGAAAAGGTTAAAGAACGTCAGTTAATCTTTGGAGATTTAAGCTCATACTTTTAAAACTTAAGTATGTTATCTATGAAATTCAGACACTTAATGACATCACACTCTAGGCACTTTGGATGAAACTTGCTTCATAATGACATGAATACTATTAACCACCCCAAAAGTGGTTGTGATTAGTATCTCTATTAGTAGTGATGATAAAATTTCCAACCCTTTCTATGTACATATGCCTGCTATCCCTTCACCCTCAATGTAATTAAATTTTTAAATTATTTTTAATAAGAAAATTCACATAGGCCTAGGAGCAGACAGAAAAAAAAAAAAGAGAGAGAAAGGAAAGAAATTGATTCTGGGTAAGTTAGCATGTTAATTGAAATAAGATTCTATGCATTGCTTTTACGCTAACCGAAAGGAGAAAAGAACCAAACTGTAATAATATGGATGGATCCTTGACCAATGTCTTCTATGCAGTAGGTGCTCAATGATTATTAAAAGGATTACATGAACAAATGTGGAAATCAACTCAAAAGATACTGACAGGGTAAAGTCAGCATGGTAGATGTTAATAGATGAAGAACAATCCAAGATGATAAAAACTATTTACCTGGTAACATTCTGTTTAAGATTTTTATAATCTAAATTCAAGGATAACCACATCTCACTTCACTGTTTTACAATTTTAAATTATATACCTGTATCCACATACATCTCCAATTAGTGTCTGTGTGCTTGGCCAGGCATCATAGCCATGCAAACTAGCAAAAAACACTCAGCTGAGCACACAGCCATCCCCACATTCTAATGCCAGTTTGAAAACTTCATTCTGTGCCTTGGTAGAACCTCGAAATGGAGATAATTCCTACTGTACCTGTCTCCTACTATAGCTTTGAGCAGATTAACCAAATAAAACTGAGAAGAGATTTGAAGGTAACAATCCCTGTTCTTTATTGCTGGGAGCCCTCAGATTCAGCACCAAATCAGAAAAAATAAAAATCACCTCCATCCCCCCAATTCTGCATTCTTAGAAATGATTCCCCTGAAGTGGCATGATGAATTAGGCTAAATGGTTTTTAACTGCAAGCACTTAAGGGTAGGATTTATGAATGGAAACATGTGAAGGCCACTCTGGCCAGCTCTGAAGCCCCATACTTTCTTCCCGGGCTATTTATAGAAAGTGTATGGCCAGTGGAAAAGATCACGTTTATTTTTACAAGCCAGTCATGACATGACCAAAAAACTCACTTCTCTCGGGGAAGGTCATCCCTTTCACCTGAGGGTGTAGCTGCAAGGACATGGAAGAAAGGAACCCCCTTTAGCCAACCCACTCAGCTGAGTCAGCCTGAGACCAGCCCCCAAGGTGACAGGCTCTGAAGTCAGACCCCCTCATTTCCCAGGCATGACTTTATGACGCTGCTCCTTGAGATGTCATCGAGATCATGACTAACAAGTAAAAATAAAATGTATTACATAATCTGCTTCAAAATTCCACTGGCAAAATAGGTTTTGCAGAGATAATGGAGTACATTCTTATTTATCATTTGTTCTACATTTCAAACAGCTGAACACAATAAAGCAAAACTGAATTCTAATGGGTATGGCAAAGTGGAGAATGTCAAAGATATTTTTTAAAGATATTTTATTCTGACTGCTGTGTTACCCCTGAAATATGTAATAATATATCTGGCTAGTTCCATGCAAATGGAAACTCAGTAAATATTTGCTGCTTCTAAAATATCATCATTCATCTGGACAGAAATCTGATATAATTTAGCAAATAACATACATAGTTTCACAAATCATCCCTGGTCCTTTATAGCATATATGGTATCTATTTGCAAATATGAAGTGAAGTCAAACCATTGTTTTCTACCAGAATGTCCTTTTATCAATGTTATATGTGGTACATAAAAACTGAGATGGAATGAGGGAAAGCAAAGTGGAGGAAGGAAAAGGCAAAGGGAAGGAAAGTGAGTCCTCATTCACTCTGGGACATACGGGGTGCTGAAAACTTTCAGGGGAAAACTGTGTCACCTTACTGGGCTCATGCATCATAATCACTTGAAAATGATATGGGTATAAATTTATCCTTAAGTGGCCTCTGTTTAAGGACAAAGACACAGGGCAAGAAGATAATTCTATTTGTAGACCCAGAACATCTCCTACAAAAGTTTAAAATGACAAATATGGGGTTTATTTCTTGTTCTCAAACTCATGGACCCTTTTTAGAATCTGTCCCTTGAAAGTTCCATCTGAAAGGGGAGGTCCCATTTTACAAGGAAGCTACCAAACACTCTTCGACCTGTTTCTCTAGCTTCCACACTAACATTCTTTGGAGCTCTAGAAGAGACAGCAATGACATGCAAATAAGTTTGCATGTGGAAATATCCTGATTTCCACAACTGTCCTTGAATACATGCACTGAGTTAAGTTATAGCTGAGGAAAAACATCTGTGCTAGGTACAAATTCTCAGCCTCTATCACCTAAGGGGAACCTCCTTGCACTTTGCATAAGATTGGACAGACACCCATCAGCAAATGTGCAAAGTGTATTTACAATCCCATTAAGAGGTTCTAAATTAAATATAGACATATGTAAAGTTAACTTCTGTGTGCAGATTAACACACAAGAATACTGGTTACTCCAGGGAATTGTGCCAAGCCTCTCTGTTTACAAATACAGTAGAGATTAAAAGCATAAACAAAAACAGATCTTTTAAGGAGATCCAGCCTACCAGTGCTGAGGTAAGTGTTCATCTACCTTATGTGCTTGATCTAAATTATACTATGAAGTCAAGACTCCCCATTCAATGACTTATTTGGCTCTTAACCAAAAGAACTTATCAGGAAGTGTGATAAGTATTTCAATAAGCCACCTCAGTGGTTTTGTGTTAACCTAGAGTTGTTATCTCAAGTACAGGTTATTGTTTATGAGAAATGTCTTAAATAACATCGGCCGATGTTGTTGTTAGGAAGGATCGCAGGAGCACATTCACTAATTTTTCAACGACTTAGGGCCACTGCCATTCATTTCCATAGTGGGGATCCAAATGAGACTTCAGGGTTTTAACTATGCAAAGTTAATGTTATTTAACTCAACATTTTCAATTACAACTCAAGTAATATGCTCCCGACTTCCATAATTTAACTGCCTCAGTTATTCCTGCATATTATGTTTTGAATTTTAAGCAAGGATAAATGGCATTGGTGTAGAACAGTTTCCTCTCACCTTCCCCCAATGGCTGCATTAAGAACCACAGCCACTTTAGCGGGTTGACTCCTTCTCTTAGAGAAGTCAAATGCTCTGCAGGTCCCGGTAAGCTACTTCCAGTCCTACCAAAAACTTAAAATCAACACCATCTTCCTTCTCTTCTGGGTGGAATGTTAGACCCTGATTTGCAGTAAAGTAAGAAAACCTTATTCTTACTGCTCTCCCCATGCATGAAACTATGTTTGAGGACCGGTCCTTTGGGCATTCCTTCAAAAGGCACATTATTCTAGTGGCAATTTAAATAATTAGAGAAGGAAACAATAAAATCAAAAACAAAACAAAAAATAAGAAAGGTTTTGTGGAATACATTAAAGTAAATTGGAATCTGGGATGTATACAAACCACTGAGCTCCTCAACAATAGTTTAACCAGAGTCCCTAAGGTAGAATAATTCACAGTTGTATCATGACACACATACACCTTCAGAAAACACTGTTTAAAAAAGTAGTTGAGAATTCTCAAGCAGCTTGCCCTGATGTCCAGTTCAAGTGTATGCAATGCAGAAGGGCTGCAAAATTCAAAACTATGTAACAAAGACAATTCAGTGCATATCACAGGCTTTGATAAATCATGAAAAATCATTGTATATATTACTATTTAAATAACATCTGAGAAACATTTTGAGATAATTAACTTGTGTTCACATTCCATGCATTTTCTAGTAGGTTAAGCCCTGGGTTTGTGTCTTTGTGCCCGTTTCCTACAAAGCTCCATTCTTTTGACAAATCCAAGCATTCCTCAGACTGAAATGGAAGTACCCAACGATTTTGTCTACTTACCCTCTTTACTGCATACTTGACCTCACAAGGGCTACTTGTCATTACCACTGGCACAGAAAGTGACCGGAAAACCGAACTGTTTGGGGTTTTATTTGGGGTGTTCCTCACTGCCTCTGGATGTCAGAGACACCACCAGAATTTTTCCAGGGGAAAGAACCAGTGACCCTCTCCCTCCTGCTGGAACCACCTCCCTCTTCAAAAGCCCCAAGTGCACTGAGACCCCCTTGTTGCATTGGATTTTTTTCCTGTGGTTTTGCAGCACCTTCCTCGAGCAAAGAAGGAAACACAACAAAACTTGAAAACAAACCAACAGTAGCAACAACAGAAACTCCAAACAAATAGGTGAGCAAACCAGCGGCCTCCTCCAAGGCGAAGGTTCACTTTTTACTGCAGAATTCCGAGTTGTTTAGGAACTTCTTGATGACCAGCCCCAGACAGACCACCAGCAGCAGCATGTAACCCACTGTGCCAGAAAAGGTGGGTGCAGCAGGCGGCGCCTTGAGGAATTGGCGCAGGCCCTCCTCCACATAGTACACCTGGTCATAGATGCTGAGAAAAGTGAATATGTGGAAGAGCTGGTGGCTGTGGCCAATGATGTCAAAGAGGCCTGGCTGGATGCGCTCGGGGATCTTGCTCACATTGAAGAAGGCGGCCACCACTAGCCAGAAGTAGCGACGATAGAAGTGCACGAAGAGCGTGGGGTTCTCACCGCGCAGGTCAAAGAGCCAGCTCTCGAGCATGATGGGGCAGGCCATGCTGAGCGGCATGACGAAGACAAAAGTGCGAAGCGCGAACGGGTAAGAGCACCAGTCTGTGCGGCTCTTGCAGCAGGCCACCGTGCAGGCCACAGCCAGCACGAAGGCCACGGGCAGCACGAGCGCGCGGTAGGCAGCAATGAGGCGTGTGCAGTCCACGTGCCAGCCCAGGCGCTGCTGCACATACGGTGTCATCACTCTGGCGTCCAACAAGCTCAGGCCCGGCAGCAGGTAGTAGTAGTAGGCCACCGTGCTGCCAAAACCGTAGTAGCTGATGGACGCGTAGTCCAGGTAGAAGAAGGCAGCGCGCAGGCGCAGTGACAGGCAGCTGAACACGTGCGCCGTGCAGCTCATGGCGAAGGTCAGCAGCACGCCCGACGCGTAGCACCACAGCGGCAGCAGCCATGGGTGATGGAAGGGCACGTCCTGGCCGCTCAGGAAAAACAGGCGGCAGAACTTGCTCAGGAACAGCAGTAGCGGGATGAAGTGCGTCCAGAAGTTGAGCGTCTCGTTGGTAGGCTTCAGTACCGAGGCTAGGCACTCCTGCGCCGTACAAGGCAGCCGCCGGTAGCCCGACAGGATGAAGCACTCCACGAAGTCGTCGGGCACCTCGTCCCAGCGCAGCAGCGGCTTGGCCGATGCTGGGGGGTCCCCGGAGGCGGAGGGATGGGGACGCGAGGCGGCCTCCGAAGCCGCCAAGGTTGTGGCAGGCGGGCCCTTTGTGCCTGCTCCCCGGGGCTGCAGGCGCCGCGGCATGGTGCCTGGGGCTTGGCTAGGTCGCGCACAGGCGACCTCTGGCGCCGGCTCCCGCGCGCTCGGCAGTCCCCGCCGGCCGCCGTCGGAGCCTTTGTGCACGCGCCGGGGGCGTCGCTGCCGATTCAAGAGAAGACCTTATTCTGAGCAGCCCTTCCTAAAAAAATAAATAGAAACAATAATCAGGTTATAAGCAGCGCAGCGACTGGCAGGAGCCCGCGGGCTCGGCGGCGCCTTCACCAGGCTCCCTGCTACGGGCTCGCGGTCGCCCGCGCTGCGGCAGCAGCGGCGGCGGCGGCGGCGGCGGACTGCTGCGGCAGCGGCGGCGCTGCTGCGGTGACTGGGCATCGCGCGGT